ATCAACTCTTAAAAAGGAACTAAATGGTTGTTTGTGGATATTAGACACAAGGCAAGTGATCACATTAATTGCTCATTGCATTTATTTCTTAGATGCAAGTTAGTAAAAGAAATTTCAGTTATCTTTCCTAATGGCCAAAAGACCCTGCCACACATATAGGGATAGTTAAGCTTCCTTGTGGCATTTTGCTCAACAATGTTCTACTAGTACAATCACTCTCCTATAATCTAATCTCTGTCAGCCAGCTTACCAAGAATGGCCATGTCTCACTTTTGTTTCAATCCCCATTTTGTTCAATTCAGAACTTTATCTCTCATTCCTGCTTTTGTTCTTCCTCCAAAACCCTAGCCTCTCAGCTGCAAGGTTTACTTTTTTTCTCATAGATTGAGTGGATTTCAGAGAGTGAAGCAAAGTTGGATCCCAGTGAAGCTAAAGCTACTTAAAGAGGTTTGACCAAAGGCTTCAAACATGGTATGTTTCTTCTCATTTTAGAATTCGACTTCATGAAACTGAAGGGAGTGAATTGTGTTGATACTAGAAAATAGATCTTCCAGATGTCGCAAACTTAATTTCGGCACGTCTCTAAGGAAATTAATGAGTTGGCTCTTTGACTGGCTCATACTTTTGTGTCATGGAATGGTCGAGGAATTCATTTCAAATTGTGACCCTCCTCTGGCTATTTGGCTTATTTATCTATGTTTGCTTAGTGCAAGATGTTGTTTTCTTTCATAATTAATAAAGTTTCTACTACTTGTTACTTATTACTCATCATCTTACTCATCATTTTGTGTAATTTGGTATTTTAATGGATTTCATATGCTACGAAATTGTTTCGTTACATTTTATTCTCTACTATTCTTTTATATGTCTCATCCACTAACTTAAATGAGTTGAAATTGAGAACGATAATTCCATAGTCGTACAATGACTTTTATATTACCTTCATTTTGTAGGGATAACCAACATTTTTTTAATTTCAAGCACTAGGTCCAATTTTGAATTAGCCTATGCTTCCTATGATTGCAAAGAGGACAATATGCTTTGATTGATTTAGTTGATTTGTAGTGTTTCCTTACCTTAAAATTTTGTTTATATAAAAAACACGGGAATCGGGTATTTCCAACTCTAGTAGCTCATGGGCATAGGGAAGGATTCTCAAACATTGACCTGCAATCAAATCTTATTTAACTGGGCAGTGGGCATCTTTGTGTTAGGATGATACACCAATTAAAAGTTTTATATTGAAGTTGTCTAGGAAACTCTGAAAGAAGTGAGATGTAGTGGAATGGGGTGGCCAAATATGGGGGGTAAGGGTTTATCCCTATACCTAGTTTTCTGACTTGGATGGTACTTTTGGATGGTATAATCACTGAGGACAAATTGCTAAAGTGGGGGAAATCTACCGATGATGAATGTGTTTTGTGCGGGGCTCTCCCTGAATCTAGAGAAGACATGTTTTTTCAATGTTCCTACTCTCACGAGTTGCTTGCATATCTTCACTACAGGGATTGTTTCTGGAGAGTGACATGAAAGGACACGGTTGCAGCTGCTAGCTCGAGTAGCTAGAAGAAAAATCCAGAAGGCAGAGTAGTGGTAATGGTCAGGTGCTTGAATGTTGCAGGTATGTGGAAAGGAAGTTTATTATTGGCTTATAGGTATAATATGTCCCTCTATTATGACGTTTTATCAAACATGCCCCTTTACTATTTTTTACATCAAACATGCCTCTGTACTTTGAAAAAATTATCAAACATGCCCTTCTGTTAAGATTTACATTGATAAAATCGTCAATCATGGTTGAACCGAGATTTAGACGACCCGACATCGGCAAATGGGAGCGAAAATGTCAGTTTTTTTCTCCCGTTTTATTTCTCTGGGTCTCTTCAAAGTGAAATTATTTGAATTAGTTGACTATAAAAAAGAACAAAAAAAAATTCTAAAGTGAAATTATTAGGGATATTTTAGACATTTGTGCTGCCCAAACCAAAGTTCGACCTTGGTTAACGATTTTTGGATGAAAATTTAAACAAAAGGGCATGTTTGATCATTTTTACAAAGTACAGGGGCATGTTTGATGTAAAAATAGTATAAGGACATGTTTGATAAAACGTCATAGTAGATGGGCATATTATACCTATAACCCTTTATTATTCAATGGCTAAATTACATGTTTGGTCACTCAAATTACATAAATCTTTCAAGATTGCCACTCGAATTAGTTTTCTTTCATATTGACCACTAACTTTACGAATCGTTTCACCGTTAGTCATCGACCGTCAATCTCCGTTAGATTCCGCTAACTCCGTCAGTTTTCCGATGACGTGGCAAACAGAATTGCTGACTGTACCGTTAATTTAATGACATGTCAATTAAAAAAATAAAAATAATTAATAAACAATTTACCCCTTAGAATGTGTATTTCTTCGAGCGACCGCACTTCCAGCTGGTCGTGATTCTCCGTGTTCAAGACCCACATCATCGGCGAGCCCACCGTCGTCGGCGGCACGGAAGGCAACAGTGAAAACAACTGTTGCTAAATGCATCCAGAAGTCCCTCTCGTCGACGGCCATTCGCAGGCCTTGGAATATCCTACGGACCGCGCAGCTGTCCTCGTACCGTACGTCTTCCGGAACCCCCTCATACTAGTGAAGAACACCAAGATTTCGCCACCTCCCCCGTCACTGCTGTCGTCGGCGATGGAGACTGATTCTCTAGGCTTAGTCTTGTCGAACAATGTGCGACGGGAACTGGAGACCAAGACCGGGTTCAATTTCAATATAAACGACTTCTCTAAGAAATGATTCCACAGTGGCTTCGACGGCGAACCCAATTTTTCTACGGTTTGTCCGAAAGCCCTAATTCTTCGACCTAAACGAATTCCTTGTCGGTGGCTGAGATTTCCCCAAAACAGAATCAACACCACCATCGACATTGTCATTACCATCGTCGAGGCCATCCATGAGCTCCTAGGATATTGATTACGGCAGTACACCAGGTGCTCGGAATCGCATTTCCAGGCAGTAGGTGGTGGACGGGCGGTGTGAAGTGGTACACTGCTCGCCGGCCAGTTGCGAGACCTAGGTGGAAGGTGTGGATTGACTGCGGCTATTCGATGAAAGGGAGTGGTGGCCGGTGGGAGTGCAGCGACGAGTGGATGTGAATTTGTAAATAGAGCAACCCATCAGAGCAATGGGATTGAATGAGTGAATAAGTTAACGAATCCCTCTTTAAATGATGAAAAGCTTAAAGGGGGGAATGGTGTGGGAAAGAGTTGTTCAAGACCCGGACTGTTGCCTTGCGCTGGCGAGGACAATCCCTTCTGGAGACAGTCTCCGACGGACTTTGAATCTCCCAACGATAGAGGCCTACAGCTTGTCAACCGCCGGCCGCTGGTGGTTAGCCGAGGAAGTTTACAGTGGGTGCAGGCGACGTGTTAATTATTTATTATTTTTTTAATTGACATGTCATCAAGTTAATCGTCCAGTCAGCAGTTCTGTTTGCCACGTCATCAGAAAACTGACGGAGTTAACGGAATCTAACGGAGACTAACGGCCGGTGACTAACGGTGAAATGATTCGTAAAGTTAGTGGTCAATATGAAAGAAAAGTAATTCGAGTGGCAATCGTGAAAGATTTATGTAATTTGAGTGACCAAACGTGTAATTTAGCCATTATTCAATGTATGCAATTTTTGAGTTGTAATAGGAACAATGTAAAGGCTAACTTGGCTTCCTTAGGCACCCCTGTTGGTTCTTGAATGCAGTTACTTTAGTAGAAAATGGAGGAGGGAGGGGAGGGGGGTTTAGGTCCCCTCATTGATGTGTTTTCCTAGGTTAATAACCATTTCATTGTAGTCAGACTTGGTTTTATATGGAATGAAATCAACTAGTTCAAAAAAAAAATTTAGTGTTTTCGCTTATGGACCATTTTGTGCTTTATATCTTAATACAATTATTTTTTGTATCCTGAAAACTAACGAACTTAAAAATTTGTTTTAATCACTAAGTACATTCACCTTGATTTTATTAAAAAAAATTGCATAGTAGTTGATCGTTACATTTTTTGTTAAACCGCCATGAAGAGTGAGTTAATTTCTCAGTTGAGAAAAGGATGCCTTACATTAGTTCAGTTATGGATAAACTATTTTGGTTTAACCTTATCAAATCACTTGCTAAACGATTAGGAGCTTAAATGACATAATAACCGATAACCTACCATACAGTTACAATTAATTAACTAATATATCCATTAATAATTAACCAAACCTAGTAAAAAAATTTCAATCATAATCGAATCGAATAGATCAACAACCTACCTGTCGATGGTGAAAAGTGGAAACTCCACATTGTTTTAACCTCTACAGTTTGCCCATTGCTTTCACAAATGGGGAAATGGGAGATAGGGATGTCAATCCAACCCGTAACCATGGGTACCCTACCCGACTGTACCCGGTCAACGAGGATAATTACCCGTTTTGACGGGTTAAGGGGCGGGTACGGGTAATACCCGGTTTCAAAATAAAGGGTAGGGTATGTGTATGGTAATCGATAATACCCGCCGCGTTATACCTGCCCCGCTAACCAAAGGGTCAATTTCCCTTGAGAAATTTAGTTTAGTTTGAGAAATTGAGTTTAGCTACCATTATTGATGATGAAGATGTAGACGATTATTATGTTTGTGTGGATTGTAGAAGCACGAACAATTATTATGTGTTTGCTGTTTTTATTTGTGTGGATTGTTGAAGCTAGAACAGTTACAAGTATTGAGAATTTTTAATGGACAACAGTATGTATGTGCATATATGTGTATAAGTTCATAGTTTATGATTCGTACCTATGGTTACCCAAATACCCGTGGTTACTCGGTGGGTAGGGTATGGTTATATAATTTTCATACCCCGTGGTTATTTAGTCGGGTATTTTAGAAGGCTCTACCCGGCAGGTTAGGAGTTGGTATAGGGTAAACCTGCACCCGACCCTACCCATTGTCATCCCTAATGGGAGAGAATAGAAAGCAGAGCATTTTTGTCCTGAGATGGAAGGGCACGATCGTCAGTACAAGCCTCTCGCCATCTCCAATTTTCCTTCTCCGACCTCTGCCCACTCCATATAAACCCATTTCCTTCTCCATCTCCTGAAAGAAGGAAGAAAGAAAAATAGAAAAACACTCTCTCTACCCCAATCTCCATTTCTCTCTGTAGAAAAGCCGCTCCGGGGAACCCCAAATCGTTCCCCTTCTGAAATTACCCCCCGCCGCTTATTCTGAGTAGTGATGGGTGTGAGCTGCTGCCGGTGCTCCCACACTTCCCACATCACTGAGATAATCATCACCAGCTTCTTTCGCCATAAGTCCGAAATATAGATCACCGTAATCAAAAGTGGAAAGAAGGAGAAGAGACTCGGTTTTTCGCTGCGCTGTGACACTCGATTCGGAGAAGTGTTCGATTTTTTTACAGTGAAGGTTGTTTTGCCTGAGCTTGCCTTGTCAATGGCAGCTTGAGGGGAACACACCAACGAACAACAAGAAAGGAACTTGTGGGGTGGGGATCTAAGCAACAAAACAACTCACCTGTTTTCTTTTTTCCCATTTTCTCGCAATCTTAGAAAGAAAAAAAGCTACTGACTTTCAGAAACACCATGGCGGCGTGTGCTAGCGGCCGCGACGTTGGCGGTTTGGGTACTGTCCTGCTTCAGACCCATCGAGGTGGCGCTTCTCAGCCCCTTGAATCGTTCTTCCTGCCTTCGTCTTCTTCTCCTTCTTTCCTCGGTAAATCCCCTCCCCTGTCTCTCTGCTCTGCTTTTTTTTTTTCTTTCAGCTCTGTTTTTTCAACCCACAGATCTCTGTCTATGGTGACGGAATTCGAATCTTGTTTTAGGGTTTGCTTATGCTCTGGTTAATGGCTTCAGGTTCTGTTTCCACTCTGTTAGTCGATTATGAAGACGGCCTCTTTCCGTTTTTGGTCAACGCACGATCCTGATCCTGTGTGTTCCTCTGTAATTTCCCAGGTCCAAGATCCATAGTCCGTTTCGACGATTCGAACGGATCAACAACAAGCAGGCCCTTCTTCACCTCATTTGATGCCGACGACAACGGCGACGACGATTTAGACGAGTATTTCCGGCAACCGGAGAAGAAGAGGAGGCTCTCGGTGGATCAAGTCCAGTTTCTCGAGAAGAGCTTCGAGGTGGAGAACAAACTGGAACCCGAGCGCAAAATCCAGCTGGCCAAGGACCTCGGCCTGCAGCCTCGGCAGGTCGCTATTTGGTTCCAGAACCGCCGCGCTCGCTGGAAGACCAAACGGCTGGAGAAAGACTACGACCTTCTCCAATCTAGCTACGACACTCTCAAGGCCGACTACGATGGCCTTCTCAGGGAGAAAGACAAATTGAAAGCCGAGGTAAACCCATTAATTTACATCCATATTTGATTGTTCCACATAGTTCTCGTTAGGATTGCAACCCTCTTGTGTTACATGTAGGCGCTCCTTTCGGTTCTTAAAAACAGTCCTTGTTAGGATGAACTATGTTGGCTATTATTAATTGTTTGCAAGCTCCATCGATCGATTCATTCATGGGTTTCATTAAAGTTCCCAACTTTGGTTCTTTTGCAGATCAATTCGCTGACAGACAAGCTGCAGAAGAAAGAGAAAGCGACGGGAAGCTTAGACTTGGCTCACAATGATGCAATGTCTCGAGAAATACCACTGGAGAAACCAAGTTTAGATTCAGCATCCGGTTGTAAGCAAGAAGACATCAGCTCAGCGAGAAGTGATATATTCGATGCAGACAGCCCACATTACACAGATGGTGTCGTCCACTCTTCACTGCTGGAGGCTGGAGATTCGATCTCGTCGTACGTATTCGAACCAGACAACCAGTCGTCGGATCTTTCTCAGGACGAAGACGATCATCACAACAACAACAACAGCTTGTGCTGCAGAAATCTACTCCCTGATCAATATGTGTTCCCAAAGCTGGAGGATGAGGACTACTCGGATCCACCAGCAAGCTTCGAGGACCAAGCCTTCTGGTCTTCCTGGTCATAATCAATCAATCACTTGGCCGATCTTTGGTATATATAAATAAATCATGTGTGAATGGTAATGTTTTTTGGTTTTTAGTTATGGTTTTGTTTTTGCTGCTTAAGAGCATATGATTAGAGTCATGATTGCAAATAAATAAGGAATGCCTGATCAATTGAGACTGAGAAACACTATATTGTTGAAAAGCCTCCTAAAATGTGGTTAATTGGGTGTTTCTCTTTTTGTGTGGTGTTACCCTTTTTGTTGTCTAGTTAGTCCATGAAATCAATGATTGTGATTAAATAAATGTACTTTTGGGTTAATCACCCTTTAATGAAGTTGTGGGGATCAAAGGTCAAACAAAAGCAATGCTCTTTTGGTACGTGGAAGCAAATTAGTAGCTTGATTAGTGGGTGCGCCCTTTCCAAGGGCCACAATGGTACTTAAGAGGATGAATCTGTGTTGTAGACTTGCATTAGAATAGAAGGATAACAAATATGTACTCCCCATGATGTGTCAATGTGCATCTTAATTCTTAAGATACGAAGTGGTAGTTTGCTAGTGGTGGAAGTCAAAAGTGGTCATTCTTATCAATTGTCCTTTTTTTCCTTCAAAGTGACACTAGGATGGTTTTTTATATACTTTTTACCTATCAAGATTATGACATTGTTTCATGTTTTTTACTATATGCATTATAGAGTACATCATTAAGGTATTGGTTGGTGATATGTAGATTATAAAATTAAGGTATTTGGGATAATAGAGCAAGCAATTCCTAGTTGTGTCTATAACTTGCATAACTTTGGAAAGCAAAAATGACTTTGTTGAGTAAACTGGGTTGCCCTTTTTTTACTATCGTGATGGGTAGATGTTATTGTGAGTAGACATTGTTGAATTATGAGTTTTTCGTGATTTTAATCGTTGGATGCCTGAGAGGGTAAGGACAAAATCACACACACTCTATCATTGTGTGCATAGAGTTACTAAAAATCAAGGGACTAGGCGATCTACTAATCGCAGCCACCTTAAAGCCTACCCAAAACATATATACTAACCAAACTGATTCTTTCAAGTGGTAAGCCAAATGGAAATAGTGAACTCCAAACCCAAAAAAGAAAGAAATGAGTGATGCGATGGGGAATGAAAGATGGTATTGGTGACACAAAAGACTTGGAAGGAATGGAGTTGCGTGGAAGGGTAAGTTTTTATGACGGCAGGCAGGGTTAGGAAGATGGGTACGTGGGAGCTAGTCGTCGACCATCACATTGCAAATTAGAAAAATGGGGAAAGGAAGGAAGAAAGGATAAGCTGGGAAGCATGGTAGGTGTTCGACGAAAAGACAGTTTGATTTTTTCTTCATAAATAATAAAGGAGATCGGGGAGGTGGCTGGCTGAATCTGATACGGGAGTTGCTGGGTAGTGGCGATCGATGGACATGTCTTTTTTGGAAGGGACCCTTCAGGCGCCCCCATGAGTTTTTGGAAGAGAGCAGTCTTTCTCTCTCTGCAGCATTGTGCAGGTTGATGGTGATGGCCGTACTCATCCTCTTTCTTTGCTCGCGGGGGCCCTGATAGCAAGGTTTCACCACAGCCTCGGTACCATGGTTCAGGAAACTGTACCGGACATCATATCGGATTTGATTTTGATAGGGTATTTTGTGGTACGACCGTGGTTCAACCGTTTTGTATCGCTAAATACCATTTTTATAATAATAAAATATTTTTTTTGTTAAAAACCATACCGGCGAAAACTTGGAACCGTTTCGGAGTAATACCGGAATAATATCGAAAAATACCGAATAAAAAATCATAAAATATCAACATATAATCATATACCAATTACCAATACCAGCAACCCGCAAACCATTTTACAGTTATCTGTTCCTAATCAAAGTATCAATCATTTCTAATCCACAATGTAATACATAATTTCTAATTAGAGAATCAACCATCATTTCTAATCAACAATAAGTTACATTACACAATTCCATATGCAATAAATAATTGATGGTTAATCAGATTCAAACCCCAACTTAAACTAGTAAACAACAATCGATTCACGATTCTGCAGATGTACCTAATTTGAAGTTTGAATAGTGTGGTTTCTAGGAAGATGAATCCGCATCGGTCACTGGTCGTTGCGACAAGCTATCCATTGATTGCAGAAATTCCAATTACAGAACTCAGCCTGCTCACCTCTTTAAATAAGTCTCAGTTTGCAAGGGAGAAGACGAACGACGAGGTACCCTTGACCATTCTCGTTCTCATGCTCGGCTGGGAGAAGTGAACGACGGCGGTGGATGCAACCGACGACCAGGGAACGCGAACGAAGGCTGGCGGTGCCCTTCTCAATCTCAGGCTCGGCTGGGAGAGGCGAACAACTGCGGGGAACCGAACGATTGTCAGGGAACGCAAACGGCGGTTGGATCTCAGGCTCGGCTGGGAGACGCGAACGGCTGCGACGCGAGACTCTGATCTGCGCAACATAAATTAGCCTAGGGTTTTTGTAGTTTGTGATGCTTCTTTGTTCGTTTGTCATTTTGGAAATCCGGACCAAAATGGTGTTGCTTCATAAGAATTGAAGGAACCGCCGGTTTTGTTGAAACCGCCCGAGATCTCGCGGTAGGCCGGTACGACTGCCAATGCCGACCGGCAGGCTCTTCCCCCTGCACTTGATGTATCGTTTCGTCACTGGCCCGATTTCCGGTTCGACCGATTCAACCGGCCGGTACGATCCGGTTTCCTGGACCATTAGTACTTTTTTTTTATAGAAAGCCCTGTGAGCATATATTATTAAAAGGGGTTTTGGTGTCAGCCTCTAACAGGCTCCTAATGGAACTGGGTGGATTATCAGTCCAGATACAATAATGGCTCTCTTGAGGAGCCAAATGGGCCAAGCAATGGGCTATACTATTAGCTTCTCTAGGCACAAAGGCCCATTCAACCCTTCTACCAGACAAACCCGAGTTAACGTTAGCTATTCCTCGGATTTTCTTGTATCACACACCCAGCTCGGTGCGATCATCGTCTCCCTTATCCAGTAACCTAACCAAGTTGAGACAGTCAGATTCCACGATCAGAGGGCTCAATTCCCTTCGATTCTCCTCTCTCAATCCAGCTATGATGGCCTTGGCCTCCGCCTCGATTGGTCTGCAGCTTCCTTCCTCTTTCCCAACTACTGCTCCCACGAATTCCCCTTCCCAATTCCTGAACACACAACCGATCCCGATCCCAGAAGGCCTCAGAAGTCCCGCGTCGCTATTCATCTTAAAAATCCCTACATTTGGTTTCCTCCATCTCTTGGAAGCAGCCGATTGTCTTTCGTTAGTCTCGGTACTAGTACTAGTGATAAACTACACAGATAATCATATGCTTTCAGACTGTGCACTCGACTCAGTGTTTCGACCTGGTACCCAAATCGCAATGAGGTTGGACAATCCGGAATAAGATAGCAAAGAGTTAGCTAAACGGGAGTACATAGCGTTGAGATTTAGATGTATAAAGCTAATTTATATTATATAATTAAAAATAGAGCTCCTATTCCAAAATTGAGTTGTGAATAAAATTAATTTTTAAGTATAATAAAATAAAATTATTATATCATAATTATTTGAAATGTAATATCTTTCTAACATTGTATATAATAAGATGATCTGTTATTTTTCTAATTTTCCCTATGCTCCATGGATCATTTTAATTGTAATCATAGTTATTCCATTAAAACTTTCTTGTGTTATTTTTTAATACAAATAGAATTTTCCAAACACAAACAATACTTTAACAATCACTGTAAGTGTCTAGTGAATATACATGAGAATATTAACCAATAACTAACACTAATATGAATTGATATAATTAAAAATTTTATAAAACTCTTAATCAATTGATCATATACGAAAAATACAACCTACAATATATGATCGTGTTAACTAACAGATAAGGTGGATGCCCCTAATTTTTTGAGGTCCTGTGCCTTAGGGCCTCCCCAGTCCTCACACTCTCTCTTGGACAGGTCTGATTAAAAGCACAAGCACTTTTCACTTTCATTAGGGAAAAAATAGGATATTTTCTCTCTTCGTGCTATTATATACAGTCGGGTTTTATTTCTACACCCAATTCTACGATAAATCTTTTTTCTCCAAAATAATGGGAATAATATTAAATTATTATTTTATTATTAATCAATATTTCATTATTTTTAAATTAAAATATCCAACATGTCATCACGCATTAAGCAAATGTCTCGCAAGGTTAGTTAACTTTGATATAATAGTTTAATTATATTTTACATTCTAAAGTTTAATATTGTTATTAACTGAAATTTCATAATTATTAATTAAAATGTTAAACATGCCATCAATTCGCATTATGCAAATATTTCACAAAGTTAATTAACTTTAACAAAACAGTTTAATCATATATTACTTTCTAAAATTTAATATTGTTATTAAGCAAAATTTCATTATTTTTATTTAAAATATTTACATGTCATCAACTCGCATTATTCAAAGGTTCCGCAAGGTTAGTTAACTTTGAAATAATAGTTTAATCATATGTTACTTTCTTCAATTTGATTTTTTATACGAGTTAGATTACACACTTTTACACCCCTTGCCTCGCACGGTTTATCTTGGTTTGCACTGTCCTTAGAGCTATTTTATGCTAGGTTTGCTCTTATTGTCTCATGTTTCATATCTTAGAAGGTAATCTTGACACCGAGATCAAAAGTCGGACAAAAGAGAGCGAAAAGAGGCAAAATGGATGAAAGTGCAAGGATCACGATGTTATTATCATCACAAGCGATAGACAATGAAGTGGTCAAGTAAACCGTGAAGTCTGCACACTTCCAGGAGGTTTTGTGTGGCTCGCAGGTATTGCCAAGATCATGGTCTCCATACCGTGAAGTCAACAAGCAACCCGTGAAGTTCGTTAGTGAAACGACGTGTTTTGTGCCGAGATCACGGTTTCACTACCGACTTCACAGGTGTGATGTGATGCCGTGATATGTGCAATCGTGAGCTATATAAAGGAGAGTGCGTTGAATTTGAAAGGGAGAGTTCTAGAGAGGGATTGAAGGGTTCTTCTTCAAACATAGAGAGAGAAAGCTCCAAGCAATGAAAGAAATGAGGAGGGAGAATCAAATCAAGCATCTAAGAAGAGGGAGAACCACTTTGCTATGGATTCTTCCTCTACCTTAGTTGTTATTTCTCTCCTAGCTACGAAGAAGTCCTCCTTGTCACTTGGATGATAGGAACCCTAGTTTGACATGTTGTAGATTGTAGGATTGTGACCTTTATTGTGGATGGGTATTGTGATTTGTATAGGTGATTGAGGTATTTTCATGAAATTGGGTGTTCTTGATAAACTCTTCCATTGTTGGGGCAAACTGACCTAAGAGGGAGAAGATTAGGGATGGCAATGGGGTGGGTTCACTTAAATTATCCAAACCCCTACCCGCCCCATACCCATGCGGGGCAAAGAGAGCCTCCCTAGAGTGAGAAAGTTAGGGTTTGAAGGGTTTTAGAGAGAAAAACACATTGGGAGAGCTTCATTGAAGATCCAATCCACCCAAAGAGCAAGGAGAAGGTGCAAGCAAGGAGAAGAAGATTGATTCCATCACTCCCCTCTTCTAGTTTGTGTTTTCTTTCTCTCTAATGACTTGAATCTCTATTGGTTGTTTATAGAAGATGAACCCTAGTTTATAGGTTGTGTATGAATGAGGGTAAATTGCAATGTTGGTCATTGGGATTACTAAAAACGTTCATGTTTGGTCACTAAAAATATTTAATTTCATTCATGGTCACTAAAATTAGCAAAACATTTCAACTTTAGTCACTTTCCGTCTAACTCCGTTAACTTTTGCTTATGTGGCAGTCAACTCTTATAGTTGACCGTTAAATGTGTGACATGACAATTGAAAAATAATAATATTTATTATTTTCAAATTGCCACCTCATTTCTCGTATTAAAAAATAAAAATTTAATTAATTTTTTATAATTCAACAAACCGTAACTGTTTTCTCTTGCATTCCCCCACCGCCGCCTCTCAATCTCTCTACTCGCTGCCGCCGCCGCGTCCCCTAGCCTGCGAAGACGCTCCCTCCGATTCATCTCTCTCTCTCCTCTCTGCTCGCAGTCGTTGTTCACTCTTTTGCGGGCAAGATTGTCGTCGACTCTTCCAAATCCGTAGTTGTCGCCACTCTCTTCTGCACCAGCGAGATACGGGTAAACGTAACAGCCGACGGCAATCGAGGTTGTATGCGTGTCGTGACCTTTGGACTCACAAGTGGAGCGAAACTCGGTGGCGGAGAAAACAGACGAGGCGAGTAGGGATGGCAATTATGCCCATACCCATTGGTATTTTACTATCCAACCCAATTGGGTTGGGTATGAAATCCAAATATATGGATATGGGTAAAGTTTGATGGGTTTGTACTCATACCCATTTATTTTGGGTTGGGTTGGGTTTATAACAAATGGATTTGGGTTTGTACCCATGCCCAAATACAAATTACAGTTTGGTACCTAAACTTAATAGATATGCATATTTAGTACCTAAATTTAATTTTTTTTTGCATATAAGTCCTCAAAATATCGATGGAAAATTACATTTTGGTACCTAAATTTTTTTGGTCTTACATTTTGGTACCTAAAATTTTCAAGTTTTACAAATAAGTCCAATTTTTGCATGTGTAGTTAAGACACCTTCAAGTAAATGGATATCCATATCCAACCCATACCCATTTAGATAATATCCATATCTAACTCAAACCCATATACAAACCCCAAACTCATACGCACATCACCCAAACTCTACCCATAAGAAATGGGTCTACTTGGGTTTGGGCAAAATTACCCATGGGTGGGTAAATTGCCATCCCTAGAGGCGAGGAGGAATCGGGAGGACAGAGGAGGAGGATTCCCCATTTGCTCGATCCTGCTTGACAGAGGAAGCAGAGGCCACGGCGATATTGAAGGGAATTAAGGAGACGGCGCCTAGAGGATATACACGTTTAAAGGTGGAGAGTGACTGCAAATGTCTAATTGAGGAACTAGGGAAGGAGGAAAGCGGAAGGTCTGGGGTGGGGTGGGGTGGGGTAATCAGTGATTTATTTGCGGACAGATTCTGCAGGAGAAGAAATCAATGGAGGAGGCGACTTTGCCAGGTGATAAATAAATACATAAGATGGGCATTCATCCGGAGGAGATTGAACAGTGTGACCCATAGATTGGCTCTTCTGCGTTTGTTTGGAATAAGATTAATAGATTATTGTTTGGGGTGCTAGCCCAACTGTATGGATAGTTGAAGAGATAATGAAGCACTCTAATGTTGGCTTTGCACGCCAGATGTAATTTGAGTAATAATATTAAGCAGGTTGTTTATAAAAAAGAAAACATTTTATTTCTATCTTTTTCCCTGAATAATCTTATCTTTTTTAATAGTTGGAAATGAGGAGAGAATTTTTAAAATTAAATTTTTAGTTATTTTATTAATTTTTAATTGCCATGTCACTCATGTAACGGTCAACTATAAGAGTTGACTGCCACATAAGCAAAAGTTAACGGAGTTGGACGGAGAGTGACCAAATTGGAAATGTTTTACTAATTTTAGTGACCACGAATGGAATTAAATATTTTTAGTGACCAAACATGAACGTTTTTAGTAATTCCAGTCACCAACATTGCAATTTACCCGTATGAATGAGTTAATGAATGAATGTGTTTATCTAGTTGATTTAATTGCTATTCTAGTTTTGATTGTATTTGGGCAAGTCACGCTAATCTTCTCTAATAGCCTACTTTGTGCTTCTACGTTGGGTTTGGAGTTTTAGAGTTAGACGGGTATGCGTCATCAAGCAAATTGAGGTTAGATGTATGAATAGGGATCTATGGTGGTTAAGGCGACCGAACCCCTGTCATAGGTAGCCTTCCTAGATAGAACCCGCGATAAAACCTCGATGTGTACGGTAGATAGTATCAATTGAAAGGAGCTACGAGATTAATGCCCCATATACGATAGCCTAGATCGAGGTGACTTATATGGGTTTAGTGGAGGCGTACTCGGAGGTGTGTACACAGGACGAAGAAGGGGAAGGTGTTGATTGTTTTAGAAATTAGGGATTTAATCTTGGTGTGTACTTTAGTTGGTGGGTCGGGTCTGGTTTGGTTAGAGGGTTGGGTAGGTTTAAATGAGCTGGCGGGTTTCAAAGATGTGTCGGGTCGAGTCGAACTATTTTTCATGTTAAATAGTGCTGATTAGACTATTTCGTCCGCTACGTCATCACTTAACAGACTCTGTTAACGAAGATAGATGCCATCTAGCGAAGAGTGACCAAACGTGAACGGTTTTCGTAAAGTTAATTACCACCAATGAATTTAAATATTTCAAAGTGACCAACTATGCAATTAACCAATTTTGTTCTTAATCCAAAATAAACAAGTTCAATCCTTTAAATAACAACTCCCAAAATACCCCCTATGTGCCAAGCTCTCCCCTGCCCTCCACGCCTAAACCCTGTTTCTTACGAATGTCCTCATCACTAACGCATCAACCAGTCAACCAAAACCAATAGTTGAACAACCTAACTATGCATTGACAAACGCCAAGAATTAGCATAGTGTAATATCAAATCTACACAAGAGGTAGCCAGCCAACTTGGCATAGTGACACCAGAACATTCATATCATCCAATCCGACATCTTCCAAGAAGAGAAGAGAATCATTTACAGGGAATGCCTCAAAGGAATAGGCATACATAATAAGACCAATTCGTCAAAAAACCCCATTTGGCCCTCAAAGGCTTAGCCAGTCGGAATGCATGATGAATCCATCAATGGTTACTGTCTACCACCTGTTTGAGACCTGTTCAGCAGTAGTCTGATTGTGACTCGTAGAGTTCACTAGGGCAAGGGGACATTACTTCCTGCTCAAGCAACTGAAGCACCTGGTTCATGGTCGGCCTTTCATCTGGGTTTGCATCGGTACACCTTGCTGCAATCTCTAGCAATGTTTCGACAACTTCCATTTCTGCATCAGTGCATCTTTTGTCAACCACATCTTCGAGCCGGTTCTCCTTCAGTAGTGTGTTCATCTGTGTGTTGGACGAGTTGAAATGGATTCAGACATTCAGTAACAGCTCGTCCACCACAAAATTTCAGCTGACAAATGAAGACTAAACTTCCATCCTACTTACCCATCCAACGACATTCAGGCCCCTCCTCACGAACGCCGGGTCAGTAGGTCTCTTCCCAGTCACTAGCTCAAGCATTAGAACTCCAAAGCTATACACATCTGACTTCTCAGTTGCCCTCCCGCTCTGTAGATACTCTGTTCAGGAAAGGCAGAATGTGATATTTTATTGCTTCTCTTCATTCAGCATATGCTAGTCTACATGCACATAAATAGACATACCTGGTGCCAAATAACCGAACGTTCCAGCAACTACAGTTGTAACGTGGGCATCTTCGTCTACTAAAAGCTTGGCAAGACCAAAATCTGAGACGTGCGGTTCCAAGTTTTCATCTAGCAAAATGTTGCTAGACTTTATGTCTCGATGGACTATCTTAGGAGAACAGTCATGGTGCAGGTATGCGATTCCCCGAGCAGAACCTAAGGCTATTCTTAGGCGAGCACTCCACTTTAATTCACGGTCTTCTTCAGCTTGTCCTGAAATAAAACAATACAGCATGAGTAGTAGGAAGTGATTTTCATAGAGGATGGAAGCAGACATTTCATACCTAGTGGCTAGTGGCAATTCAAATAACGAGTCACAGAAAGTCATTTGCATCTACATACTTCATGTTACCCTTTTACCGGAGACAATCTTGAACTAATACAAAGATTTAAATCGTTACCATGCAAAAAGTCATCTAGACTGCCCAAGGCAACATAGTCATATATCAGAAGCTTTGATGTGGGGAGCCGGCAGTAGCCTCTAAGGTTCACTAAATTGATATGCTTGATGCTTCCCAAAATCTCTAATTCCCTCTCGAAAACTTGATCAGAACCTTCACGACTTCTGTCAATCCTTTTCACAGCAAATGTTCCACAATCATTCATGACCATACGGTAGACAGTACCATATCCTCCAGACCCTACTACATCATGTTCATCGAGAGTCTCCAGCTTCTCTATTATCTCGATCGATGTGTATGGTAGATCACCATGGAAAGTAATAAGCTTCGTGCCTGCCGAAACAAAAACTCTAATTCTTAAACGGTTGGTAGTATTGCAAACAAAGATATCCATCAGAAAAGCAAACTCACTTGCTTCCTTGTGAACTTGCTTCTTGACTTGGGTGTATTTCTTTGCAGCTCTTTCCTTCTTTGACAGTAAGCATAACCAGAGAAAACCAAAGAGCACAATGATTGTTATGCCCATTGCTGAGATTACAGCAATCAGAACACCCTTGATGTAATGAGAAGAACGTTTCGTGGGAACTGCATAAACATATCAACAATATCAGCAGAAGTATACTGTAAATTTCCTGAAAACAAAAAGGGTAAGATTAGTGCTTGCCGCCTGCTTCCTCGCTAGCAGCATGTGGTAGCACCACAGGGAAACCGAGTGATGTTCGGCATGGCTTTGCCACTTGTCTTCCACAAAGATCTAAGTTTCCAGTAAACCTGACAATGAGCAATGCAAACTTTAGTTTGAGCTCAGAAGGCATGACACTGTCAAACAGAAGCGAAGATGGTCAAATTAAATGCATTTTCTTTATCCCTTGTACTACCGAGTAAATATTTCATTGCTAATTATATGATAGATTGCATTACTAGTCTAGATTGCAATTACAAATATATTCATACATGGATGAACCTTTCTACATGTGTAAAGGGTTCATCTCTGTAAAAGCAGCCTTTAAAACAATGTCTAAGCAAAGGCCTACAACATGATTCACTTTGAAGTCTTGTATCCATAGCTTAGAGATGTTAAAAAAATTAACACACTCACGAACTATTCCCAAATGTGCTTAGAGCACCAAAGTCAGGTATTTCGCCAGAGAAGAAGTTGGTGGACAAGTTCCTGCAACAACAGTAACATAAAACAAAAATCAGGTAAGAACACATCCAACTTAGAAAAGCTCAACATATTAAATTTCAGTCTGAAACCAACTTACAAGTGGCGCAAGCGTGTAAGCTTGCCAATAGATGAAGGTATGGCACCCTTCAGCAAATTGCTTGACAAATCCCTGTAAGTTTCCAGACCACCACATGATGAAACCAGTCAAGTTTGATGGTATCATCAGTCCCAACTGGAACTAAAGAGCATAATAGGGAGAAAGCTCACAATATATTGAGACTGGAGAGGTTCCCAATATCAGAAGGTATGCCTCCTTGCAGGTAATTAGCTCTCAAATACCTGAACAAGATACATGCCATGATAACAAGTTAGCGTCAAACTAAGGACAAGATTGAATACCATGAAAGACCAAAATCATATTCTTATCCACTAACAGGGCTCTGAGCTCCTTGCAATTGGTAATTTCATTTGGAATGACCCCATGTAAGCTGTTCTGATGAAGCGCCCTGTTTCCCAAACAACAATTTTCAGGCCATCTTTTCTAGGTTAGGTTTGAAGTACAAACAAGGCATAGGGAACAAAATAAAGGAAATTTAACTTACAATCTCTGTAATCTACTAATTTTCCCAATGCTGGGAGATAAGATCCCTCCAAGTTGCAAGTAAGGAAGGTTTCTGAAGCAGAAACAGAGTTGAGTTCTCACATTAGATGAAAATGCCAAAAGGATCCTCAACCTAGAGCCTAGCAGAACAAGACAAATTTGAAGGAAAATGGAGGAATGGGTGGGCAGCATACATTGAGCTGACTCTATGGTCATCAGGATAGCAAGAGATGCCAGTCCATAGGCAAGGAGACTCATCAGTGGCTACCCAGTTGGCAAGCATGTTCCTGGTATCGTTCAATGTTCCCTTCAGTTCCAACAATGCAATACCTAGAAACAAACCCAGGAGAGTGTTCAATCAACCAAAAGATGCATACTTTGTAAGAAGCTCCAGCTTCTACTAGTGGTAAACATGAAAAGGAAATGGAAATCAAACAGCAGAAAGAAACACAATGAGATGCTAAATAAGGAGGGATCATATAGAAAAAGGAGCAGTCTTTGCTAAAGTAAAGGTGGTAAACTTTACCATCTTCAGTCAAAGCAAGAGAGGTAGAGCTCAAAAGGGTTGCCGCATAAATGAGAGGAAACACCCATCCAAGGGCACCCAATTCCATTTTTCCTTCACAGGAAGAAGCTTTTCTTCTTTCTCTTTCAGCAAGATGCTCTAGGTTGCTCTCTGAGTCTGTATACTCAAATCGGGTGATTAGTGAAGCTTGAGCTACAGGAAGAGGGAGAAAAGGACAAAAGTAAAGACAAGAAAAAAAAGAGGGAGAAGAAGAAGAATGGAACAAGGGTTTTGCTGTCTCTAGGTTTGGGGGTTTGAATGGGTGGTTTCTACTTTCTGGTGAGAACAAGAGGGGAGCAGCAGAGCAGGTCGAGTCATAGAAGAAGGGTGAAGGTTTTGGGGAGTTGGGGAAATGGGAGGAATGAGCAAGTCTCGGCTGCTAGGCTTGCCGGGGAAAAATCTGTCCTTTCGGTTTGTTCATGATGGTTTTTGAATTTCGAAAAGTGCACAAAAGCAAATAAAAGAAGTTCTTGGTGAGCACAAGAGCAAATAATGACACTCTCCAAGCAAGGAGAGAGAAAATAGAGAGGGAAAAGTTTTCAGTTTTGAGGAGTATTATTTTAATTGGGAGCAGAAGCCAGAAGCAGAAGAACAGGAGGATCCTTTGGGGCTTTGGAAAGTTGGTGTGGGGAGTAGTGCATAGCCGTTTGTTAATTGGTTACCCAATGCCCAAATTTCAAATGGAGTGAAAGCGGAGCACTGGCACTGCAGAAAAGATGGTATGGTTTTGTACTTTTGTATCAAACAGTCCTCTATAGTTGTAGTATCTATCAATACTTGGCTAAATGTGTTATATTTTGACATTTCAGTTCCTACTTAGTACTTACATCCTTCTTCTCAGAAACTACAGTTCTTTTGAAGCAGGATAGCAGTATCATTTGTTGCTTAAGCAAATGTCAAAGTTAACAAATATTTGCCTAGAGTCAACCGATAGTGGAAAGTTGGATGCTTGCGTTGACTCTAGTTCATATTACTGGTGACCATAAGGACTTGTTTGACAATAACCATTCTAGGTATGTGTCATGATATTATGTGGCTGCTTCTTTATTGGACATATGGATGGAAGTTTGTAACTGAAGCAACCAAAACCAAGTTGGCCACCTTTTCAACCTATGGCATATAATGATTGATTAGCCAACGAGATGCGCCAGTAACGGAAACGAGAAAAGATTGTGCAACAAACACATTTTGGTATAAAAATAGTCTGTGTTCTTTGATGGAATAGGCTTTGAACAAAACAACTTGTAAACCGACCCATCCGTCCAACAAGATCCGACCTGTTGGGACTTTTAGGGGCGAGGGTATACGTACGATAGCCCGAGACCGGGTGACTAGGATTATGATAGAGTCATGAACAACGTTCACTTTCCGTAAAGAATATTTCCACCCTCAACAAGCCTAGGGTTACAGGAAATTTCTTCGTAGGATAAAACGATCACCACTTTAGAATCTAGACTTAAGAACTAAAACATACTTAGAAGTTTTACCAGGAAGAAGATGAATGAAATACATTCCTGGTGCCTTTAACCACCATCGGAGTGCTCTTTATTTATAGAGGATGAACCGCTACATTGAAAGATTGTATCTTTCCAATTTGTGGCCGGTTAGGAAGAAAACACCATTTCACTGTTTTCAATTTAAATGAAATGTGGCCATGAACCTTTACAATGTTTCAATATAATTGGCCATGTACCTTGCAAAACTGTGCATGCAAATTTGATTTGGCCCATGCATTTAAACAAATGCAAACCGTCCAATTAGAGTTGGACTAATTAAATTAAAACATAATTTCATTCAAGAGACATGTCTCTTGATGAAAAAGGGTCATGTAATTCAATTATCAATTGGGTATTCGGTCAAGCCAAATCCAATGTGACTGGTCCATTTGATTTGGTTTAACCAAATTCCAACAATCCTCCCCCATTTTAGTGTATTCTACGAATCAACTAAAATTACAACTTTCTTCCAACAAAACTTAAGCATAAATGAAAATGTCGTGACGACTGAATTTTCACCTTAGTATATTACACTTGACAAATATTCGAATACAAAGGGTGTCGGTAATGATTGAACCCATTGACTCATATGAATATTCGAAGATAATATACACTTAAGTTTTCAAAACTTCTAAGCGCCTTGACACTATTATCCGCCATGTGTCCAATCCTTCTCATAAGCGCACACGAAACCAAAGTCCGGGTTTCTTGAAGCGGCTACACTTCATGCTTACGTAGGTTGAATCTCTTATTCATGTACCCGCATGATACACTTTTTCAAAGATTCAATTAAGAAGTTTGAACTTCATCCTCTTCTCTCATGCAGGATAACAAACATATACCTCGGGATGACAAATTGTGTGCTTCAACTTCTGATAATAAGCTTTCCACATTGAATTCAGCCTCTAATGTTGTATTAGAGGGGAATTGGGTGTCCCATTACCAGAAATTATATGGACTTTAACCCATCCCTTTCACATACTTGATCACCAAGTCACTAGTTAACCAATTCGTCAAATGATCAACCAAATTATCTCGAGTCTGGTCATATTGTCTAGAGACAACTCTATGAATGATCAGTTCACTGATTTTACCGTGCCTTACTCCCACATGACCGTACTTGTCATTTTCACTTGACTATATGCCTTAGTCAAATTAGCATTACTATCACAAATGATAGTAATAGGTGAGATTGGTTTAGGCCATAAATATATGTCGTAAACCAAACCTCTCAACAATTATGTCTTTTCTCTAAGAGAACCAAGACCACACAAACTCTGATTCCATAGTGAAACTTAGTGATGCAAGTTTTCTTTCTAGAGGCCCAAAATATGGCACCTCTCCCGAGCAAGAGGACCATCTCAATGTTGAAGTATCACCTTTAACATGAGAAATCCAACTAACATCAACAAATCCTTCCAAAATTGATGGAAAGCCCACTATAAGTCAATACAGTGTGCCTTTGACATATCCTAGTACATGCCTCATTTCATTTCAAATGATGAGAGCTAGGATTCATCACGTACCAACTTAATTGTTCTATCGCATATGCGATATCTAGCATCATGTAAATCATGCATACATCGAGCCCCCAATTTGACATGGAATACTCCAGTTGTAAAACTGATTTCCAGTATTAACCATAAGTTCCATACTTGGATCCGTTGGGGTCTTTAACTCACTACAATTCCTACTATGGAACTTATGCAAGTACCTTCTCATGCAGAAAAATTGAGAGAAGGACTCTTTCTTGTCGTTCCGCTTGATTCAATACACAGAATCACAAATGCCTCCCCCATGTCCCACATGGAGAATTGAAATAACAACTTTTTTTATCAAAGTTCACTTATCTTTTATTGGTCCCAAAGATAAGCATGTCATATACAGACAAATGTACGATGAATTCATTACCAGAATCATCATAAATTGTGTACACATTTTGTCTCCTTGGTTTAAAATAACATAAACTACTAGACAAAATCACTTATTTTTTATTGGTCCCAAAGATAAATATGTCATCTACATACAAAACATAATGACTCTATTACCAGAATCATCAAACATTGTATATACAATTTTGTCTCCTTGGTTTAACATAAACCACTTAGACAAAACCACACCATCAAACCACTAGACAAATCCATATTTGTCTAGCACTTCGAAAACGTCGAATAAAGAATTAGACAAATTTACCATTGAGTATGTGACCTACCCAAAGGCAATTTGCATTCTTCTATTTCTCCATTTTACGAATCATTCTCCTTCTTCCTCATCTTCGAATCTTCCCTCTTCCAAGTTACCTTCCGGATATGGAATACACCATGAGACTAGTACGAAGAACACCCATCTTCTACTACCATCGATGAAATACCCATCTCGAAATTCTCATAATTCCATAGACCGGAACCGGTTCCTTGTAAAGAGCGGTTCGAGCCATCGTACCGAAAAATATTCTTTACGATTGTTGGGACTTTTTGGTCGAGGGTATACATACGATAGCCCGAGACCGGGTGACTAGGATTATGATAGAGTCATGAACAACGTTCACTCTCCGTAAAGAATATTTCCACCCTCAACAAGCCTAGGGTTACAGGAAATTTCTTCGTAGGATAAAACTATCACCACTTTAGAATCTAGGCTTAAGAAACTAAAACATACTTAGAAGTTTTACTAGGAAGAAGATGAATGAAATCCATTCATGGTGCCTTTAACTACCAGCGGAGTGCTCTTTATTTATAGAGGATGAACCGCTACATTGAAAGATTGTATCTTTCCAATTTGTGGCCAGTTAGGAAGAACACACCATTTCACTGTTTTCAATTTAAATGAAACGTGGCCATGAACCTTTACAATGTTTCAATATAATTGGCATTGTACCTTGCAAAACTGTGCATGCAAATTTGATTTGGCCCATGCATTTAAACAAATGCAAACCGTCCAATTAGAGTTGGACTAATTAAATTAAAACATAATTTCATTCAAGAGACATGTGACATGTCTCTTGATGAAAAAGGGTCATGTAATTCAATTATCAATTGGGTATTCGGTCCAGCCAAATCCAATCCAATGTGACTGGTCCATTTGATTTGGTTTAACCAAATTCCAATACAACCCACCTATATTTATTGTCAAAATTAAAGTTTATCGTTAGATGAGGGGTTTTATTGTACAACCCGCCTTTATTGGGTTGGGTGTGAATTTTGGGTAACGCAACTCGTAGAACCCGACCCAACCCGTGTTGAACTATTTTCATAAGTGTTCGTATCCAAACATTTTTGTGTGAAAATTAACCTATCTTGTCATATTTTTCTCTTGTGGTTTTCCTAGCCTATTACATTTTTCAACTTAATATTTAGACGTAGATTTAATATAGGCTATTATTTACGTAATATTTTTCTTGAGTACAATTTTAGAAGAGCAGTGATATTATGAAAGTGTTAGCTTATAACCTCTTTAACTTATTTTGACAAATAAATATATGAAAAAACTAGACATATGTTGAAGTAAATTGCATTTCATTAAAATCCAAATAACATTTATGCATATTGATACTTTTCACCTTGATTTATTTGTTTAAAATTTTAATTAGTTATATAATATTTTTGTAGTGTAGAATAGTTGCATTTTTTTAGTGTAGAATAGTTGCATTTTTGTGTTGGCTTGGGATTTTAATTAAACGTCAACCCGACCCAACCCAATTATAAACAAGTCGTAGGGTTCTAATTTTTTTGATGGGTTTGGCTTTAATATTTTTAAAATTATAGTATATGGGTCAGGTGATTATGTGGTGGCTTATAGTAGTGTTTTTTTACCAAAGCTAAGACAGGCTAAGGGGTCGTTTGCTTGAGGGTTTTGGTGATGGATTTGGTCATGGAAATATATCCATCATGGACTTGAACCGAAATCCATCGTTTGGATACAATTCCGGAAGAAATGGAAATGGAAATGGAATTCAATTTTTTATTTTTATAGAATTCCATTTCCAATTCTA